CCGCATGGTGAAAGCGTGACCGATCGCCTGGATGCGCTGGCAATCCAAGTCGAGCTGGGCAGGGGGGCCGCAGAAGCCGTGCAATTTTCGCAATCAATCAGGCCTGCAAGCGGCGAGTTCCGAGCAGTCGAAGCCACGGGGGGGTAATTGCATGAATTCGAACCAGAAGCGCACCCGCCGCCGCTGGAGGGAGCGCGGCACGAAGCGCCTGGCCCGCCAGCCGGCGGGGGGATCGAGAAGACGACGCCCGCGATCCAACAGGGGATGCCACCACTGGTATAGCATTGAATTCCCAAGGCGGCCGAAGCCGCGGAAACAGAAACTAAACCAGGGCGGGCCCCCCCCCCCGCCGCCCGTTTCCCGGCAAGCCGCGGGGTGCTGCCGCGTCGCTGCACCGCGATGCTCAGGTAGTCGGTGCCGACCTGGAGCACTTGTCCATGGAGTGCGCGATAGACCTTCTGGACCTCCTCCGCGGACTGCAGGAAGAGCCGCGCGCGCCCGCGAGGGGCCAACGCGTCGACGGCCGGCGCGTGGACTCGCTGGCCCGGCAGGAGGGGCCTGCCCAGCCGCCGCCGGGCTGGCGGCCAGCCCCGTGGCCGAGGTGGCACGGTTCATCAAGGAGCCCAGCACCACCTGCCCGTTGTCCCCTGTCTCGCCAGCGATGGTGACCTGAATGATGCGTTCCGTCAGGTTTCCCTGCCGCTGGGGCCGCCCATGTCGACGCCTGGAGGCGCCGAGAGCAGTGGCCAGCGGCGGGCGGCCAGGCCCATGGGCGGCCGCCGCGGCAGGGCTTCCACTTGATCTTGGTGATGGCCTGCTCGGCGTCCTCCATGAGGGACTGGTCGAGGATGGGCTTCCAAGACTCCGCCGGAGCCACCGAAGAGATATGAACGCGGTCGGTTGGTAGGGATATTGCATGCGAGCACAGGGGCCAGGCCTTGTAGAGGGCCAGAGGACCATTGCACTCCAGATTCTGCGCGTCAGGGGACGTGTACTGGTCACGATGTCCAATGCGCATGCTCGACGTCAGCGCAGTGCGTCGGAGAAATCGGATGGCCAGAACGACGTCGGCTTCCGACGCGGCGCTCGGCAAGAGCACCTCGACCATGCTGCGGCGAATCGCCGGGGAGCTACCCGGGCTGCGCGAGGTCCCTCTTGGGGGGAATGTCGAAGCGTAGTCCTGAACCTCGGCGCCGTGGAGGTTGCGCATCAAGGCCTGGAAGGAGTCCGTGGGAAAGTCGCTCCAGACAGAGCTCACTGCTGGGATGGCCAGCAGCGGGGTCAGTGGCGCGTGCACCGTCGGGTTGGACCGCTGGGCCTCCATGCGGATGGCGAAGCATGCCGGACCTTGACGCGCGTGGCGAGGAGCCGCAAGGCCTGGCAAGATATACTCCACTGGCCGGAGGATCAAGCCGACGTGCTCCACCAGGGCGACGACTGCAGCAGCGCCGCCAAGAAGGGGATGCCACCAAAGGTCGAAGACCTTGGCTGGGGTGTCGACGCCGGGGTAATTCGGGAGGGGCGTCAGAAGCGACAGGCAACGCGGGTGAAGAGCAACATCACGTTGCGGAAGTAAGTCGGCAAGCGGCCGCATCAGAGCGCTGGTGTCCGTCGGAGCCCATGCCACGATGTGTCGACCGCCCATGGCATGGAATGCCCGGCTGTCGCCCTTCTCCAAGAGAGCGGCAAGGTCGCGGCGTTGCTGAACGGCGGCGCTGTGGTCGGCGCCGGTGTCGTCCAGCAGCTGGGGCCACTGGGTGGCCATCTCCGCGCCGTTGGACGCAGGAATGCCCCGCGCTGCTTGCATAGCTGTGGCGCCGAGCTCCTTCCACCGAGGGAGCTGCGAGGGGCATAGTCTTCGTCGCTGGCGGAGAACGTCGGGTAGCTGCACCTCGCAACGCTCAGCAGCCGTCCGAAATGTCGCAGCGACTGCCTCCGCGAACCCCGTTTCCGAGAGGTCCCAATCGGTGTTCTGACCCATGGAGCATAGTGTGGTCGCCGCTCTCGTTCGTGACGCTATGAGGTGCTCCGTGGGCTCGGGGCCGTCGAACGGGCCGAACCCCAAGATGTGCCAGGGGTCGGCGGCTTCGGGGTTGTAGGCGAGCTGATGGACGATGGAGAGGTCGTTCCACTTGGAGTGGATATTGACTTGGTCTGGCCGCTGCATGCAGCTGCCGGCCTGCGCGATCTCCACGTGCCGGAGGATTTCGTCCTCCACGACATCCTTTTTTCCTTTTGAGTACCGCGTCGGGCAGGGCGCCGTGACCGGCGAGGCCAGGAGGGGAGGCGACGGCTGTTCCGCTAGCCGCAGTTGCGAGCTGAGCGCCAATGTGGACTCCCGCTAGGCCCTGGGGCGGGCCAGATTGAGCGCTGCCGTCGTCAATCTGCATCGTGGCCCGGCCGCCAGCGTCGTGACCAGCGGGTGCTAGCGCGCGGCGGCGTGCCTTCCAGGTCCAGCGCATTCTGCACGTCCAGGTGGTGGCAGTACTGGGGTCTGCAGTTCCCGTTCCAGGTTGCAAGATGGGCATTTGCTCGCGCCCGGAGCCAAGGCCACGAAAAGTGGGCACGCAGTGTGCTGGCAGGATAACGGTCTGGTAAGTAGGGTTTCTGGGCGAGCACCACCAAGACGGAGTACCAAGTGCATCGTGGCGTGCTTCCGGATGTTGTACGCTGCCTTGAAAGCCCGTGACCGAGCATCGGCTGTACAAAAAGTACGACTGCGAGTCGAACGAATTCAAACGAATTCTTGCGAGTGGATGAACACAGCCATCGGTAGTCACCTGCGGCAGTGGGGTATCCGTAGGCCAGCCCGCCGTCTCACGGCAGCCCTCTCACAACCAGCACCCCGCCATTCAATCCGCCTATCCGGCGTCATCAGGAGGACGGCCCGCTGGTGGAACGTAGGGAATCAAAGACCCCCAGCCAGGGGTCGAGGGGAGACAATGGCATAAACTGGCTTTATTGGTCTCCGCACCTGCAAGCTCCCGCGCCTGGCATCGCAACCACCCGCCACTGCAACTCCAACGTAAGGGACTGGCTCATGAAAGAGTGTCACCGAGGGACCCGCAAAGCTCGATGATACAGGGACCATGGTGGAGCACAGCGAAAAGCCCCCCGGCCGGGACGTATTTGTAAAAACAGGTTTATACCCGGTCCCAGCTATTGTGGGACCCCGCGCCCCCCCAGCCGGATGTTGTAGTCCGTAAGCGTGCGGCAGTCCTCCAGCTGCTTGCTGCCCGAAAACCAGGCGTTGTTGGCCAGGCGCGATGTCCTCGGAGTCCAGGATGCTCGCCTTAACGCCCTCGATCGTGTAGCTGGCCGCCACGTTGAGCACGATGGTCTTCCCCGTCAGCGTCTTCACAAAAATCTGCATTCCCCCAGGGGGCTTTCTGGGAGTCGTCGTGCAACGTGCGGTGACGTCGCCGTCGGAGCTGGCCTCCGTGCTGCGTCTCGGAGTGGTGTCCGTGCCGTGGGGCCGCGGACGTCTTGCGGGGCTGCGCTCTGGCCAGGACTGACTTGAGCGCGACGGCGACTTGAGTTGGCTCCTTGGGTTCGGGCCCGCACGAAGAATAACAACAACAGCAAAAACATAGCGAGTCTTGAAGTGGGTAGGGCGCTTGAAGTAGACAGGGATCTGCGAATTCAGCAACACTTACTTTCCACGACAGGCGAGTAAGTGCGCCAACGCAGACAGCACCGACGATCGGAGAGGTCTGGCATCGGCGAGAGCCCCAATCCTTGGAATGGTCCTGACAATTGATGGGCAACGAAAAGCAATGGGCCCTGCGCGAGAAGACGTGGCGACCTCGCGCGGTGTCTCGCGGGGGCGGGCCGCCAGCGCGGCAGGCCACATCGAAAATGGCGACCGTACGCGGCCAGCTTACGCGGTAATGTCGGCGCAAGTGGCCCCGTGTTCTTCCGTCGTCCACGCAGTGGAAGGACACGGGGAAAGGCAGACGACTGAACCTTATGTTTCTCCAGTCAGAAACTGCAGGAGGGCACAAGAGCGCACGACCGAACGCGGGCGGCCAACGAAAGGTGTCCTCCACGGAGATCGGGGGAAGCACGTCCCTGTGATCTGCAGCGAACCCGCCAGCGTACACTGGGCACGTTGGGGCATGTTCGGATGTTTGCTACTTGTCTCGTATGGTTTCTGTCTCGTTTCCCAGGGGCGCTCACTCCCTTGCAGCGACCGCCCGAAGCAAGTTCCCCCCTAGATAATTTTGCTCGCGAGCGCTCTTCTTGGCCTCCAGACGGGTGCTAAACGCGACGGCCCGAGATTCCCCAAGACGACCCAAGACGGTCACAAGACCTGCCCAGACGTCCCCAAGATCGTTCACGTGAGCATCTTTGGGAGAGTTGCGGTAGAACCATCGCGCCCAAGACGTCCCCGCGACCCCCGAAAGTCCAGCAAGAAGCTGCCAACAGGCTCCCGAAAGACGCATCCGATAAGCCTTCAAAAGGGAGGAGGAACGGAGGAAACCGGAAAGGAGGTGTTCTCCAACCGCGACAGCTCAGAAGTATGCTGAACTGAGGCTGGTCTTACACTCAACATCCTTCCTGCCGCGCTGCTGCGCGAGCGATGTGGTAGGATTTGCTATAGGCAGCTGGATATGTGCGCAAGCCTCTTCATCCTCCTCCTCCTTCTCCTCCTGGTCCTCATCGTCGTCGTCGTCCGTCTTCTCTTCTCCTCCGCGACTGACTATCGCTCACTCGCCTTCCTCTTCACCCTCTTTTACATAATACGTCCCCGTCATCATATATCCTCGTCCCTCTCGTCGTCCTCTCCCTCCTCACCTTACTCATCCACTTTCTCCCCCCCAGCCTTCAATAAGGCACCCAACAAGAGAAGCAAACTGGGCAGAACGTCATGGGAACAAAACTGCGACCCGCAAAAACCATGCCGAACCGTCGTGGGAATGTTGCCTGTCTGTTCGTGCGGCACGCTCAACACGTAGACATTCTATCGAGAATGCACTGCAAAAGAAGACTTGGCGCGCCTGACGGTTCATCTTCAAGCGACCGCTGTCACCCTCCCCTGTAACACTTCCAATACTCGGCTTACCGTCAATGCGAACATACTTACCATGGCGCAAAGCCTAATCTTCATAACACCACCTATTTCTAAAGAGCGAGCTGTCACGGACCACGTCGACAAAATAGCAGACTGCTCGAAGCTACATGTGGTAGCACTCTTTGTGACACAGCGTGACACTGCCCCGAGCGAGCTCATTTGGTCGGGGGCACGCAAACATGGATCGGGGGAGTTGTCCTCCCAGAATGAGGCAGGTGCCGCCTCGTTCGGCGGCGGAAATCTGAAATTTCCCCTGGAAACGGGGCCTGTCGCTAATCCACGCCCCCTTGATCCATGCTTGCGATCGCCTGACTTTGGTGAGTGCTCATCGGGCCAGCCGCCGCAGCGAGCCCAGCGATCGTGCAGAAACAGCATGCCACCACCCCCGAAAACCCACCCTCCTTTCGGGGCGCAGGGTGGCTTGGCGCGCTTCCCGCTCAAGCCCCCTGGAGCAGGAGGAGGAGGAGGAAGAGGAGGATTGGCCCTTCCCCTACCCCCTCCCCTGGACCTGGGCGGGGTGCCCCGCGACCGGTTTGGAGCGTCCATGCATCCTCCTCCGCTTCGTGGGGCACGACGGCTGCCCCAACCTTTTATCGCACTGCATGCTCCTCCACAACCCTGGCACAACCCTGGCACAATCCTGTCCTAGGCAACTCGCCTGGGCATCGTTTCTGGATGGGCCAGCGGGCTTGAATAATTATTCGACGCGGAGGTCCCCATGTGCATTTCATACTCCTGTCACGTCTCGCTGAGAAACTCTGTCTGTGAGCATCTGGGTGTGAGAACGAGTCCGCGTGGACGACGGGCGCGACACCGACGACGACAGCGACGACTTCAGCGACTTCCTCCTCATCCTCTGGGCATCTCTCAGGAGAGGTGTGGGAAGCACAAGTGGAAGAGCGAGGGAGCATTGGACCGTCATAAAACAGAAATCTGTGAATGAGTGAATGTGAATGATCTGAGCGTGAGTGAGTCTGAGTGTGAGTGAGCCCATGCATGATTGAATTTGAGTGCGAGTGAGTCTGGGTATGAGAGAGTTTGAGTACGAGAGGGTCAATGTGCAAATCGGCGTATGAGTAAGTCTGAGTGCGAGTGAATCTTAGTGTAAGTCTGAGCGTGAGTGGGCATGGGCATAAGTTTGATGAGTACGAGTCTGAGTATGAGTGAGTTTGAATACGAGTGGGTCTGAGTATATGAGAATCTAAGGGTGGGTGAACCTGAGAGTGGGTAAAATCGAATGCGAGTTAGTCTGAGTGTGAGCGAGCCTGAGCTTGAGCGAGTGTAAATGTGAGTGAGTCGAAGTATGAATGGGTCTGGGTACGAGTGAATGTTTAAGTATGGTTGAGTCTGAGTGTGATGATTGCGTCTGAGTGAGGAAGAGATGCTGATGAGTAAATCTGAATGTGAAGACGCCTGATTGAGGAAGAGGAAAAGGAAAAAGAGGTGAGCGAGTGAGGTCCGGAATACATTGAGGGGCCGAAACAAGCAAACCGCCTGAGACGTCCCCACAAGCTGGGCGCGAACGGGCCCGTGAAATACATCCTGGCGGCTCCCCCCTTGGGTTGATGAAGACAGCGCCTCGCCTGAGACATCTTCAGTCTGCACTGACAGCAGAGGAGTCGGGGACCCCAAAACAAGTAAACCACCTGAGACATCCCCACAATCTGGGCGCGAACGCTCCCGTGAAATACCCTCTTGCGGCTCCCCCCTTGGGGTGCTCAAGCCAGCGCCTCGCCTGATGACATCCTCACAACTTGCGCCGAAAACAAAGGATGTTGGCCACGCAAAAAGGCGAACCGGCTGAGAAATCCTGACACTCTGGGTGCGAACGGGCCTGTGAAATACCCCCTGCCGGCTCCCCCCTGGGGGCTGCTGAAACCAGCGCCTCGCCTCAGACATCCTCACAAGTTGTTCCGAAAGCAAAGGAAGCTGGGCACGCAAGCAGGCAAACCGCCTGAGACATCCCGACAATCTGGGCGCGAACGGGCCAGTGCAATACCCCATGGCGGCTCCCCCGCAGAGTGTTGAAACTAACGCATCGTCTGAGACATCCTCACTGTGATCAGTGAGTCCGAGTGAGGGAGGGGGGGATGAGGGTGACGCTAAGTGAGTCTGACTGTGAGCGTGTCTGTATGATTCCGACTGTGAGTGAGTCTGAGTATGCGTGAGTCTGAGTATGAGTGAGTCTGCGCGTGACTGAGTCTGAATATGCGTGAGTGAGGGGGAGGAGGAGTGAGGTGAGCATCAGTTGGGCGTGAGTGATCTGAGTGTGAGTTCCTCATTGGTATGAATGAGGAAGAGAAAGAGGAAGAGGAGTAGACGGCGGCGGCGAAGCGACATCGGGCCGAGTCGAAAACACTCGAGCAGACCGCATCGTCAAGTCGGGCGTGTCCTCCTAAAGGTGGTTTTGGACGAAAAATAAAAATAGTCAAAACATATTCCAAAAAGTAGAACAATAATTAAAAAAAAGCGTCCCCAGACGATTAGAAAAAAACAATTATTTTTCCATGTCCCTCCTGTAGAAGGACACGCCCGACGCAAAACTACCTGGACGGCTGTCCCGAGGCGCTTTGCACAGCACTTCCCCAAAACTATTATCGGCGACAGGCCCCCGCTGGCGAAACCGCACCCTCCTGGGCGGGCTGGGGCTGTCGGGCCCCCATCGGCGATCCCTGGGTGCATACCCCCCCCCATGTCCGAGGGCGCCAGGGCTGAACCTAAACGGTGTTGGTCGTTTTCGTTTTGGTCTCATTTTCCCTCGCTTTTGTCTCGAATCCGCCTTCACCGCAAAACGAAGTCGAAACGAAAACGGCCCACGAAATCGCCCACAACACCGTTCAGGTCCAGCCCCGGGCGCCTCACTTCGCGCTCCGCGCTGCGCGAAGCGCGAGCAACTTCTCGTGCTCTCGCGCCGCCTCTCAGGGGGAGACGAGGAGGATGAGGCCGAATCGGTGCCGAACCGCGAAGCACGAACAACTTCGCGCCCTCGAGGGGCGCCCCTGCCATCAGAAGAGGATGAGGCCGAATCGGAGCCGAACCGCGAAGCGCGATGAACTTCGCGCCCTCGACGGGGCGCCCTTGCCATCGTTGCCCCCGCAGCCGGGCGCAGCGATCGGCCGCAGAGACCTCTCCAGCGCCCGGCGCGCGGGCGTGCACGGCCCGCCGCCGCCGCCCCGCTGCCCCGCTGCCCGCCGCGCGAGGAGCGAGCGCGGAAGACTCGAGGCAGGATCGGTCGTTGCGAAGTTCGACCATGGGCCCCATGTTCGAAGGGGCCCACGGGGACACACCAACAGGGAGGCACACAGCCCAGGATTCCCCACACCTCCCATGCTTGCAGGGGGCGGGGCTCGTCGGCCCCTCCGCTCCCCATCTTCTCCATGTTCTTCCCTGGGAGCGGACGTTTATGTGTGTCTGTGGGTTTTGTTTCTCCTGGGTTACGTGTTCGACCACGGACCCCTTCTTACGCCATCGCTCCTGGGCCGTCTTCAGCGTTCCTCGGACGGTTTTCGGTGGTCTTCGGCGGCTTCCAGCGGTCCGTGTCAGTTTCCAGCGGTCTTCGGCGCGAAAGCCGGATGTCTGCGACGAGCGAGGGCTCTGTGACGAAAACCTACTAGTCAGCATCGAATGGGTGAAGTTGGGCGTTGCTCCTTAGGGGATTCGGGGGAGGGGGGGAGACGCGAGCACCTTTCGTGTCACTTTTCGGGTCCCAGGGGGGCCCTTCAGGGCCTGTTTTAGGACCCAATCGATGCACCTTTCGTCACCCCCCCCGCCTACAGCCAACGCGCATCATAAGCAGGCACGATGAGGATGCAAAGGCCTCGGAAGGCCATGTCGACACCTTTCGAGCGGGGCGCGGCCAGCGAGAGCGACCAAGGACGGGCCGACGGGGAGGGATGCAAGGGTAACCTTGGAAAATTGTTCAGCCTTACTATCCGCGCTGACTGTAATTTTATCGCCCCCCATCCCGAAACGTCGGAGGAAGTCGGATCCAAAGGTGCACTGGGTGCGGTCAAAGCTTAGGTCGGGCATGTCCTCCGACAAGCGGATTTGAGGAGAAACATGAAACGGCCGAGGTCGGGCATGTCCTCCTACCAGCGGATTTTGAAAGACAAACGGAACATAATTTTTCCCAAATCGCCCCAGAATACTGGGAACATTGTCCCAAGACTATTTGTTTGGCTATTTTCGGGGTCGACCAAGAGGGGGGGGTGCAAATCATGACCGGCGGCATGTTCGCGGCCCAGCGGGGGGGCCAGGGACGTATTGAAATAAAACAAGGCGCCATGAAATCTGGGTAACTATCATGGCCCCCGCCATGATATCCCCCCCCCCTAGTCATCACCCCCCTCTTTGCCGCCCCCGATATTTCTGACTGGTTCTCCTGTGGAGAGACACGCCCGACTTCAGTCAAGGCTTAAGTCGGGCCTGTCCCCACACAGGGGGATTTTCGACGAAAAATGAAAAATACCCTGAGAATATACCAAGAAGGTAAAACAGTCCCCAGACTATTTTGTGAGTATCTTTTAACTATTTTTGGGAGTATTTTGCATTTTTCGTCGAAAATCCCTCTGTAGGGGGACACGCCCGACCTCCGTCGAGGCCCCACCCCCGGCCGCCAGAGGCAGGCGACGGCTCGACCACCGGGGGCGAGGGGCCGCCGCGGCACGGCCGCCCGTGGTGCTGCCGGGGGCGCGAGCTTCGAGCCGGGCGAAAGGGGGGGATCGCAAAGGGGGGGTCTGCGAATCTTGGGCGCCCGAGTTATCCGGGGTGACTCGGGTCCGGGGTAGCCCGGGTTCGGATTCCCGAAAAAGGAGCCCGAGTTATCCCTGACCCGAGTTACCCCTGCTGATTCGGGGCTCTGAGAATCAGTTCACGCACAGCTGCTTCTCCCGGCGCCTCCCGGCGCCGGGGGGCGCCCATGCATCGAGGACTGGGCCCGGCGGCGGGGCCGAAGCCGGCTGCCTGCAGCAGACTCCGTAGTCCCCCCCTTTCCCGGTCCCCCCCTGTCGTTCGGCCCGAGAGCTCCGGCTGCGGCGCGCGGGCTGCGGCAGGGCCGGGCAGCATCGAGTCGGGAAGTCGGATCGAATCTCGAGTCGGGCGTGTCCCCCAACAGGGGGAGTATCCAAACATGGTATTTACAAAAATAGTGTGGGGACGATTGTTGGACTGTTTTTAGATATTCTTTCGCTACATGCATTTTTCGTTCAAAATCCGCATGTAGGAGGACACAACCGACCTAAATCGAATCGCCATGTGCGGCGGCCATGGGCGCATCGGCGTTGAGTCGAAGCCGAATCGGATCGGCCGCGCCAAAAAGGACAACAACGCCACGCAAACATCGGCGGCATCGGGTCGCCGGAATATCGGAACCGAATCGGATCGGGCCGGCCGGAAACGATACCGAATCGGATCGATGGGATCGAAATGGATCCTGCGAGGGAAGGATTCCGAAAACAGCTGCTCAAACCGAACCCGAAGGAACAGAAGGGGTGAGCATCGTTTCACCGATCTCCTTCCCCACTGGCATAGCCTTGGCCCCACTGGCCGATTTGCCCCCCCTAAACGGGGACACAAGCTCTTCCGTTCGGATTTCGCCGGTCTCATCCCCTACTGTGGCGGGTGCGATGGTGGGGCTGAGATACCACGGACCAATACTGAAGGGAGCCGACCTGTTAAAAGGCAACAGAGGCCGACGCGAGGAGGATCCAGAATCGGGGACGAGGATCGAGGATGCGAGTGGAGGGAAGGAGGAGGATCGACGGTAGTACTTTTGGTACTTCATGGCCCCCCAGAAGCCTCCACAGGGGGAGGGGCAGCGGGAATAAAACGCACTGGGAAGGGATGTGCGGGGTGTGCAGAACGCCAGATACTGTTATGATGCTGGTACGCCTGGCTTGCCGCTCTCTCTTTCCCAGTAGCCATTCCACTATTTCCTGAGGTGGGCCACCAGAATTCTCGACCCACCTCTGGGGCAACTTGCTCATCCCGCATCCTTTTTGAACGGCCCAGGTGCCCGCAGCCAGCCCTCCAGGAGGCTGCAAATGGCGAGACATAGGTCGTCTTGAGCTTTTCGTGACGGGCCGTCTGTTTGGTCTTGGGGCCCGAAACGGGCCACTGGAGATGAATAGCCCGAGTTGCTCAGTAATCCTGGGGAGGTAAATGGCGTGGGGAGCATGCTGGGCCTCTCTGGAGCTGGGCGTGGAAAGGTTGGATCGCGTGAGGGGGGGGGGGGGTCGGCGCGCGTGGGGGGCTGGAACGGGCCGTCGGGCGAAATGGCATGGGGAAACTGCTCCTTGAACAACACGTGGCGCTCGTCGTGGCGAAAACGGCTTACTTGCCCTTGCTCGGACGTCCATTCCCCGTGCATGTTTTGGTTTCGTGAATGCTCTTTTCCGCAAGATGAGCCCACAAACTCTGGGGAAACCAAGAGGTGCCGATACCGTTACACCCCGGACCTCTCCCCGGGTGCGTTCTGACCTGAATTTCGAGGCGAATCCAGCGGTGGCGACAAGGGCAACCCAAGAGGCCCAAGCAGGGGAAAACGGAGGAAGGGTAGCGGCAGGGGTACCTTTTCCCCCTCTGAGGCTCCCCGATGGTCCTCGCCGAGAACATATGCACACGTCCGAGCGATGCCCACCTTGGGGGGCCGAGCGCGGAGCGGTCCGCACCCGACGCCGGGCCAGGGGGGGCAAGGCTCCCGCTCCTGCCGGTGCTGTGGAGGTCGGAAAGGGGGTGTGGCCCAAAGGGGTGCGGTGCCAATCGTGGAGGTGGTGACGTTACCTACGATGGATACGGTCGGGGGAAGCAAGTGATGGGCACTCCCCCGCTCCCCCAAACTCAGAGTTGGCACGCGCGGGGGAGACTGCGGTCGAAGTGCAGCTCATCAGACCCACCGCCAACTTTGGCATTGGGGGGAGGGGGGGCGTTGATCGATGAATGTGGCATGCGTGTTCGCTATTTTCCGAGGCCTGTAACACCGCCAGGTTCAGCATAGACGAGCTCGGTCCACTTCTCGCAAAGTAACTGCTCGCACATGGCCTCGATCCGCCGCGTGGGATTCACGATATATTACATCGAGGCGAACAAATATGTTTCGAACACTTGCGAGTAACTAGGCTCTGCGCGTACTGGAGCACGCTCGGTGAGCATTGGCAGCACACCCCTTTCTGACCTCCAGAGACTAGATGCCCCCTAGATGGGGTCCGAGCAAATGGGTTCGGAGGATCGCGCCGCATCGCCGATGCAATGGGTCGGCAATTCATCGGCGACGTCGGCGGTGCCATCGGCGCCGTCTGCGAGGAGAAAAATGGGCTCCGCATCGAGCCGCACCGCCGATGCATTGGCGATGCGGCGAGATCCTCCGACCCCATCTACTCGGATCCCCTCTGGGAGGCCTCGAGATACCGCTGCTCCCCGAACCTCTCCCCGGGTGCGTTCTGAGCAGAAGTTCGATGCGAATCCAGCGGTGGCGACAAGGGCCTCCCAAGAGACCCCCAAAAAGGGCAGAAACGGGCGAGAAGGATAGCGATTTCGAGGCGAATCCAGCGGTACTGACGAGGGCCTCCCAAGAGACTCCCAAAAAGAGCAGACACGGGCGAGAAGGGTAGCGGTGTATGGGTACCTTGTTGTTCCTCCTCGGGCAGACCCTCCTCCCTGGCCCCCAGATCCTCGGCTCCGAAGGGCTGCTTGGCGTCCCTGGGCAGGTCCTTGGTGTCCATCGACCAAGTCCCCTCCGCGGCGACAGCGACAACGACCGCAACGACAACGATAATAACGACAACGATCACAACGACAACGATGACAACAACAACTCCTCCTCCTCCTCCTCCTCCTCCTCCTCCTCCTCCTCCTCCTCCTCCTCCTCCTCCTCCTCCCCACCAGTGACAGCGAGGACAAGGACAACGAGAACAACGGCGTCGACGACGACGACGACGACCAGGTCCCCTCCCCTGCGGCGCTCGCCCCCCGCGCGCTCTGGGCGAGGAGGCGGCGAGGAGGCGGCTCTCCCTCTCGGATCTCCGGCGGCCCGCAAGGGATCGCACTCGCAAGGGCCGTCGAAGATCAGCCGGGGTGGAGAGCCGGTCCCGGGAGGAGGGAGGAGGGAGGAGGAGGAGGAGGAAGAGGAGGAGGAGGGAAGAGAGGAGGAGGAGGAGGAGGAGGAGGAGGAGGGAGGAGGAGGAGGAGGAGGAGGAGGAGGAGGAGGAGGAGGAGGAGGAGGAGGCGTTTCGGCGTTTCTGGGCCAGCTGAGGGGGGACCCCCTCGCCCGACAGTCTTACTCCGAGCGGCGCGGCGGCGAAGACACAGCAGTGGCGGCAGCGGGAGGCAGCTAGCTCAGGCGATCGAGAAAGAGACGACGACGCTTCGGGCCCCTCACTGCATCCCCTTCATCCATAGTCATGTCCTCCCACTCCTCCAAGTATTGATAATGAGCAAGGCGATATAAGCATTCTAGGAGATCTGCAATGCCGACCAACTCGGCGGTCATGGTGCTGCACTTCGGGTCCAGGGGAATACTCCTACGCCTCCAGACTACCTCCTCCATCGTCGCCTCATGATACCAAGAAATAACCCAGCCCGCTCCCACGCCCTCCTCCCGCTTCCCGCCGTCAAAGGAACAACGAAGGTGACATCCCGATTCTAGGGTTGCCCAGGCCGGACGTGGGAACGTTTCCGTACAAGCTGCCGCCAGGGACAGGGCGCGTGTAGCACAGGAGTCGGCCTCGCGGTTGTACTCGCGGTATACATGGCGTACATACTCTCCCCCATATTCAACAGGAACCCAACCAAGCTCATACAGCTGATAGAGACGAGTACGAACACGACTGAGGGGAGCTAGGAGATGAGGATTAAGACAGTGCCACCTCCCATTAGCCCACTCCACCACCGTCTGGTTATCGCCTTTGATATCCAACAGCATTCTCAATGTTGTCGGGGAAGAATTTGAAGCAGAGGTTGAGACAGACGAGCTTGGGCCAGCAACCAGACCTCTGCTTGAATTGTGCTGTGCGGTTGCTGTCGTTGACGCGTTCTCGCAAGGGGCACGGGCACGACATTTAAGGGGGCGAGGCGCTACAACGCGAGCTTCTCTCCCAGCAGATGCACGTCTCTCCTCCAGGGCTTTCGTTCTCACGGCCAGGACTTGTGTACGAGGAAGCCCTGCGCGCATGAGAATGCTAGTGATGAACTCCTCCTCCTGCTCCCTCCACTCCCTAGGCATCCTCGCGAGTTCCCTCCATCCCACCCCGAGATGAGTAATCCAGAAATCCTCCCACTGCGGTACTCTCTGCCAGCCGCTCCGGTGTTGCCGCGGCTCTTCCTCCCTGGCCGCAGATGCAAAAGACAAGCCTTCTAATCGAACACGTTTCTTGCGATTCTGTATCTGTTGCTCTTTGAGGTCCTGCCATTTGTCTTCACACATGAACTCAAACGCGTCTTGCAGGAACTGGTGGGCCCCCGTCTCGAGAGGCGCCCTGCCAAGCCCCCCTACATCGCAGCCGAGCTGCTCGTAGCCCGACGGGAAGAAAGCCGAAGTCGAGTCCGTTCCACCCCCGAAGATCCGCCCCGCAAATCTGTGCCGTTGCTGCAGTACGCGCTCATGCACGAGCAGATGGCCCTGCTTGACATACATCTCACGAATGGCGCGCGTGGTGTTCTGCATGTACTGTGCGATGCTCTCTCCAGGTCTCCTCTTCCTCGTCCTCCCCACCTTGCCCAGCATCCCACCCTCCGCCTTGGCCAGATATACGAGCATGCCCTGTGTCATGGCCCACGCTTCACACCCGTAGCATAAGATGGGTGCGATAAATTCTGAGTATCTTCTCATGCGCTCTTGAATAGGCAACAGCTTAGATCGCAACACCTTCTCTCCCCAAAAAGCGGCCCTGGCCCTTTCCACCCTCCGCTTGACGTCGGGCCACGCGTTCCCCGTCTCTGTGATGATACTCCCCAACTGCAGACTAGAAGAGCATCTTGAAACCGTCAGTGCGCTTAAAACCCCTGATGGCACACGAGGATCGGGCGCCATAACGGAGTACCCTTGGGTCTCCGGCTCCACCGGCGAGATAAACTCCAGCGAACTTGGCTTCCAGCAGAGCCGATACCTAGCTAGGATGCCTGTCAGGATCTGGGTCATGTGTGTGATCTGTGAGATAGACCTACCCATGAGATATATGTTATCACACCAAAGTATGTGCGTGTAGCTGTGCCCGTTGATGGTGACCCCCAGGTCGCTTTCCCTGAAGTAAGCTTGCGACTCCCGAAGCACCTCCCCCAGAACCAGATTCCACTTCATCGGAGCGTCCGTGGACCCTTGCCTTTCACATTTACTAAACGGGACCCCGTTCGGAATCGGCACCCCCTCGAACACCGCCTCCAGGCGACAGTCGACGTTCTCTCTCAGGAGAGCTGCCCCCAAGTCCCCCGGAGTATTGCGTAAGTTTAGACAATGTGCCACCTCCCTCCCACGTAAGTTGTCAAAAGCCTGATAGACGTCGCCCATAAAAAGCGCGAACGGGCACTGACGATGCCACTCGTGGCACTTGGTGAGTAGGATCGAGATGGGGCCTATCACCTGGTTGCACGACATGTGCGGCTCGAAGCCCATGATGCACAGCTGTCGTAACAACGGAGGTCTGCCCTGCGCCTGCATCAGCAGCGTCAGAGAAGTCACGTACCACTTCAAAGTAGCTGACAAGAGTGAGATGCCACGGAAGTGCTTAGCGATGTCGCGGGCTACGGGCTCTTTCGCCAGAAAGGTCATGACGATAGATTTCCAGGCTTCCACGGGGCCTCCCCCAGAACACAGGCGAGAAGCAAACAGCTCGTAAACCTTGAAGACCACCTCGGAGCCCAAGGCCAGAATCATCTCCGAGACAACACCGTCACTTCCTCCCGCCTTGCCAGTACCGAGCCTACTCCTAGCTTGCAGAACATGGTGTACACTATATTCAGCAGCGGCACGCTTGCCACCTCGTTCCCAAAGCTTCTGGACTCTCTCAAGTTGGGCCTCAGGGGTCTCGTCGGGGTCCGTGTACTTGTGCCTACAGTAGTCCTCCACCACCTTCCCCCACTTAGAAACGTCCTCCTGAACCTGACCGGTGATGTCCACCAACTCCCTCCCAACAGCCACGCGTGACGCGTTGCGACGCCCCGAGGGATGCTGAACCCTCCACCTCCTCCTCTCCCAGTTTCTCCTCTCCTTCACCTCCTGCCTCCTAAGTTCTCGCCTCCTTGGGTCCTGTTTCGGGAGCGAGAGAATGGCTCTGGAGATCTTCAAAAGGCTCTCTGGCTTGTTGCAGACGTCCCTCATGATCCCCCCCCTCGTATTGTGCTCTACCTCCTTCGCCCTCGTCACCAGGCTCCTCCCGAACTCCTCGATCCTAGTGTTGTTCATCTCATATCCGTGCTCCTCCATGTCCTTCAGGACCCCCTCCCGGTACATCTGCAGAGAAGCAGCATTCTCAGGAGACCAGCCCGTCAGAGCGAGACGACGCCCCAGCCGACGGAGGGTGCAATGTCCTCCCAGTACCTGAACCCACACCGGGAAGTGGTCCCGCTGCGCGCCGCCGACCACGATCACCTCCCCGTTAGCACATGACGACCGAGTGCCCCACGAGGTGGGCACAGCAATGAAGTCAATCATGGCGTCGTAATGCATCCCAAGGTGATGGAAGGTACGGCAGCGTCTTGAGACCACAGTGTCCGACGCGGGGACATTTGAAGTAGAGGTCAAGACAGAAGGGCTTTGACTGGCAATCAGACCTCTGCTAGAATCTGCTTCCAACGAACTATGCGAGAAAGTGTTGGCAGCCTTCAGCCCCCACTCCATCAGTTTAGATATAAGGAACTCCTGCCTCTCCACGCCTTCCGAGGTCGACGCGAACACTGCTGGACTGAAGGGGCCCGTGACATGAGGAAGGTCAGGAGGCAGCTGTGTATTGAAGTCGCCCCCGATGACGACGTGCTTGCAACCAATGCTGAAACTCCATGAACGTAAGTTGTCGATCTCGCCAACCGCATCCTGAAACTGTTCAAACGTTTTGTTCCAAGAATCTGGCAGGTAGCAGCTCACAATGCCCACGTCCCCGAACTGGACTGCGATGGCAGGTAAGCAACTCCTAGTAGCTCCCGAATTCGAAGACAAGGTAGACGGCCAAGCAATAGCCGTCGAGTGCCCAGGCTCGTGTCTTACAACCCACCCCGCAGCCGTGGGGTCCCGAGACCAGGACCCAACTTCCTGTAAGAGAACCACACAGCTGGTACCATATTGAGAAGCGATCCACTCAAGCAAATCCCCGACCGAGTGCACGCTGATACGACTGACGTTCCAAGACACGATCTGTAAATTCTTGCACCGTGAAACATGTAACTGACCAAAGCTTGCGCCTGCACCGTGTCACGCAGACAGGGTGCGGAAGGCAACCTCCACCGACGGGCCCCCGGGGAAAGCCGTAGGCCAATGGTCAGGGAAGATCTTCCACCCACCCGTAATCGTGTACTGCGCGATCCTCACCGGCCTCTCGGCCTGCGCGACGTACCTCACGACGAGAGAGCCCGTCCTGACGCCGTACTGGAGGTTGAACAGCTCCTTCTGCTTGTTCTGGCTTTCCAGGAACCCGTAGAACTTGCCCGCCTGGATCGTGAGGGGTTTCGCCTCAGGAGACGGAGTGACGGTGCACTTCGCCTCGCGCCCGTTGATGGTGAAGGAGGGGAGCACCTTGGAGATCTCCTTCTGCGTCTTCCACATATCGCTACGAGACCCGCCAGCAGCCATCACCACCAGCAGCTTGGTGTGCAGCAGCCTCTGGTCCACCTTGTCGCAGGTACCCTGGGTGTTGATGAGACTCTGGACCTCGGCGGGTATCGCCGAGAAGATGCGCTGCAAGAACGCCTTCGCGTCCACCTGGGTCAGGCTCGTGGTGTCGGGGTCCTCCCAGTCGGCCACCCAGTTCTTCAGCTCCAGCGTGCTGGGCCTGTTCTCCAATCCATTCGAGTAGGGGTTACCATCATCGCGTGCGGCGGGGGCGAAGGTGGAGCCGTTGGATGACCCACCTCCCATTGCCATACGCTTGACCTCCTCGATCTTCGCATCGAACCTCTTCTCCATCTCCTCGCACTTCGAGTCCATACGCTTCATGATTTTACCCTCCATCTCATCGAATTTGGTGGTGAGCCTTTCCACCGTGCGATCAGCTGCACGATCGGCTGCCCGGCCGAGAAGAGCCTCCAAATCAGAATGGTTCATAGGTTCAGGAACTTCTGTGCGTGAAACCTTTGACGGCCTCTCGGTGTCGCTCATACAAGGGTCTGGCTCCAGACCTCTGCTTCGTGCGGCCGTTTGCAACCGTGCGTCCTCTGGGGGAGACTCCACTCGCTCGAATAAGGCGTCAAAAGCAGCCTGGATCTATTCCGTGGGGGAGGGCACGTGTCGATCGGCATAACAATGAATAAGAAAACGGCCACGAGGGGACGTCAGGAGGTCTTTAGTTTCGAAGACCCCCCATATGTTTCTCTCGGCGGGGAATAAAAGATCCACCCCTCCTCCTCTTGCTCCTCCTGTTCCCCCTCTTCCTTCAGAGCGTGTGACCGACCGATCATGTGGCATTGGCGCACGAAAGAAGTCAGTGGTTCGGTACGCATGCGAAACCTATGGCTCCTCACGCCAGCGTGTGGCACCAAACCCATCAGTTAAACAACAACGATATTGAGCGTCTCCGCCGTACGTCCTGGATCAGGCCATTGAAGCGTGCCTCGCTTCGGGAGAGGCGCTGGATAACTTGTTCGGGGACATGTGGGCAGACTGCTTCGCGAAGCGAGGCGCGCCCGATGTTTCGGGATCGTCGTCGGTGTTTCGCTCGCGAAATATCAGCTGGAGCAAGCCGAACAACGCATGAGGTGCCTGGCGTTCGCGGCTGAACGAGAGGCTAAGATAGCGACTCCCGTCGTGCGCCGCCCGTTCGATCCCGCCCCGCGGGCCCGTCGAGAGCGTAGAGCCGACAACCCACGCTTCCATTGGTTTCCCAGAGGGCGCTCTTGGTTGCATGGCCTGCTGGCCACAAACCACCAACCCTTCCTCCTTGAATGGGGAGGGCAACACATCCACCACCATGGTAATCACCCCGATAAGCGAAGCTGTTTCGTAAGCCCACCCAAGGAAGGAATTAAACGTGGCAGGGCTGCTGATTCAATGCCTAAGGCCGTCTAGTAAAAGTCAATTATCGGGTTCGGGTGGCTGTTCCCCCCTTGAATCAAGTCAGCCATGCGACGTCCTGATTTTTCTAGGACGGCGTCCCTGAAGTCCCGACCCTTTCCCCGGACCAGTTTTTCGTCCTGAGTCATTTTTTGACGGCCCCGCGAGGCCCGGCGAGGGCCCCCCAGGGCCGCAAACAGCCAAACAAATCCCGCCCTCATCTGTTGGCACGACGCAATCATGTCTGGGAGGTCCATCTCCTCCCGCGCGTGCGATCCCAAAGGGTTCGGGTCAAGACGCAAGGTCCGGAGGAGGAGGAGGATGAGGAAGAGGAGGAGGAGGAGGAGGAGGAGGAGGAGGAGGAGGAGGAGGAGGAGGTAGTGGAGACCCGGGACGTGCGCCCACATCGCCCCTTTGCGGGCCTCATCCGTGCCTGCAGCCCAAGCAGAGGAGGAGAAGAAGGAAGAGGAGGAGGACGAGGAGGAGGAGAAGGAGGAGGAGGAGGAGGAGGGGGGCGAGGAGGAGGAGGAAGAGGACGAGGAGGAGGAGGAGGAGAGGAGGAGGAGGAGGGAGGGGGGCGATGAGGAAGAGGAGCAGGAGGAGGAAGTGGGGAGGGGGGGGGAGGAGAGGAGGAGGAGGAGGAGGGGGGAGGAGGAGGAGGAGGAGGAGGAGGAGGAGGAGGGAGGAGGAGGAGGAGGGGGACGAGGAGAGGCGAGGAGAAGAAGGAGAAGGAGGAGGGGAGAGGGGAGGAGGAGGAGGAGGAGGAGGAGGAGGAGGGGGAGGAAGATGAGGGAGGGGGATGAGGGGGAGATGATGACGAGGAGGGCAGAAGGAGGAGGAGGAGGAGGAGGACGAGGAGGAGGAGGGAGGGGGATGAGGAGGAGATGATGACGAGGAGAGGCAGAAGGAGGAGAAGGAGGAGGAGGAGGAGGGGAGGAAAAAGGAGGAAGGAGGAGGAGGAAGGGAGAGGGAGGGGGATGGGGAAGGAGGGGAGGAGGAGGAAGAGGAGGGAGGGATGAGGAGGGATGATGATGAGGAAGAGGCAGAGGAGGAGGAGGAGGAGGAGGAGGAGGAAGAGGAAGAGGGGGAGGTGGGGGGAGGAGGAGGAGGGGGAGGAAGACGAGGAGGAAGATGAGGGGAGAGGGGGAGGGGGAGGGGGGGGGGGAGGTTGCGGAGCGACCTAAAGTCAAAGAAAACAATTAAAAATACCCCCCCGTCAAAATCAGAGGACCCCTCATCCTCGTCCTCCAGGCGGGGCCTACCCGCGGCCTGCCCGAGCTCCCTGACGTCTTGCAGGTCCTCGTCGGCCAGCCCGAACGCTCTGAGGACCTCCTGCTTCGAGGCGCACCCCGACCTCGCACGGGCAGTGGGCCTCCCAGCGGGCGCGGCGGCAGAAGGAGCACAACGGACAGACAACAAATCTCGCTCAGCCTGAGAGAGGCTGCGAGCGGACGAAAGGGTCAGATGCTTCGACGAGGCTCGACCATGTGGGTGTTTCCCATCACGAATTCGCTTCAGCTGATGCATCACTCGTGGGAACCTCGGCCTGTGCAAGCAGCCGTCCAACAGAAGCGCACCTGGGCGGAAAGCCTCACAATAGGCACCGCACTTGACACAAAACACAAACGGCATTCCCGATTTCTGAGGCGAGTCGATCCCGCATCTCATCAGGGCATGCCCGTTCAAGTAAAAAGCGCTGGCGGCGACCTCTTCCCAATCGAGCCCGTCCGGCCCCCCGGCGTCCACCCCCTCCCCGCCCACAGACTCTTCAATCTCAGGCTCAGGCTGAGGCGGCAACTCGTGAGAGTCAGGTGCACACTTTTCTGAAGCTTCAAGGCCAACCGTGTCAAGACGCTTTTTCGCCTGGCCTTGCAATTGCGCCTCTAAAGATGCAGCCCACTTGGCAGACTCTTTCACAAGACACTTGAGACCTCTGTACAAGTCTAGGTCCTGCTGGCTAAGTTGGTGCTTTGCAGCGCCCATCTTCGCTTAAGAGTCTACCGCGTCATTGGCTCGCTTCTCCCACAGGGTCGTCTTGCCACTGTGGACATCAGACATCGAGCAGTGAGCTGCCGTCTTAAACGCCGTGAAATCCCCTGGAGAGAAACTGAACCAGAAGGGGTGGGCCCTGGGCCCTCCAGCAGAGGCCCCCGCCCCTTGGCCACCCCAGAGGACGTCCAGAGTTCCCTGGCAGTCACAATAAATCAAACGGTGCCATCGCACACTGATTCAGCATGCACACAGCATAGTCTTCCCCATCCTTGGCCGTTTGGCGAGGCCCATGGGAGAAGGGGGCGGGCCCGTAACAAGCCGAGGTGGCGTTGCCCAGAGGATCGGCCTGGGCAAGGGCCCAACCAGCCCTCGAAAGCCCGGGAATCCCTGACCAAGAAGCGGACCCATCCGAAAAAAATTAAACCGCTGAGGCGGCCTGACTCAGGCCTGTTAATCCAGAACACGGTCTGTTCAGGCTCCTGGGCAGGAAAGAGCGCCAACGGCGACGGAAAGATCGCGCGCGCGAATCTCTCAGCCAGCTCCTCCCCTCCTTCGAGCACACGGGCCGCCCGTCTGGCAAGCTGCGGCGAGACCATGTCTCTCCTGAGCACAGCGTGGGCCGAGCAACGATATTGTCTGTGAAAAAAGGGTCCCCGCCTCATCCTGACACAGCCTGCACTTGCAGCTACTGTGATACCCATGCCTGTGCACTCTTGCTTGAGGCCAGTGCACATTGCTCATAAGGCTCCTGAGGGACCTCTGATGCTGGGGCTTCCAAGAGGAGGAGGAGGAGCGAAGGAGAGGCTTCACAGCATCCCAGAAAAGAAGGCACCCTTGGAGCTCATCGCCTACCTGCATCAGCGCCTGCCTGTCCGATGCTCTGGCGGCCGCAGCACGGGCCTGCAACCGAAACCCCACAGGCGCAATCTGAGAGAGATTCCAGACCTGCCCGAGGTCAGTTTCGACCGTTCGAAAATCACGAAAAGTCCAACCCACACGAGCGAGACGGAGCACTGCCACATCCGCAGGTGTCGCAGCTCCTTGCCATGGGTGCCTTTTCGAATTTGCTCGAGCTATGGCCGCGTCGGCCGCCGCATTCAAAATCGAGACCTTGGGAAACCGGCCCCAGACAGCGGTGGCCCATTGAAAGGCCACATGGCCAGCATAGGCCACAAAAGGGTCAACGATTCCTCCCAGTCGAAGAATCATGCAGCCGAATTCCCAGGGGGCCCCTTTGGGATGACGTCCTAAAGCGTGGGCCGCCGAGAGCCTCAGGCCATGCATGGCCGTCGGCGAAATCCCCAAGACACTACTGCCCCAGAGGGCCGATGCCGTGGCCCCCATTCTCTGTACAAGAGCCACATCAGCCCCAGCCTCCCTCAGCAGTCGAAGTCGCTTCGAGCGCGAACCAGCATCGATGAACCTCGCTCGCTGCACTCCAACACGTCGTCGTGAGCCCGTGGTCGCATCCGTGCCAAGGTTACGCGCATGCTCGACCCGAGACGTACCAGGCAAACACCAGGAGCCAGCAACGTGAACCAGAACCTCTCGCGTGCACATGTACTTCGTTGTCTTGATGTTCGCAGGCAAGTGGAGCTCCTCAAAGCAGGAGATGAGCTGAGCGACGGCACTCGATAGCACCTGAGCTACCTGAACTGGCCGACCACACGCCTGAAGTGCAACGTCGTCTACAACATTGCGGATGAATAAATTCGGCCTACCTTGCTGTGTGAGAAGAAGCGGACGGAGCAGCAATAACTTAGCCAGGGTCGTCGCTCCTGAGCATCCAGCCACCACAGCTGCATTCGCCAAGTAGGCCGACGATACGCCACCTCCATACATCAGAGCTTTATATCCAGCATAGATCGTGCAGTACCCTCTGAGGACCTTGATGGGGAATCCATACTGGAGCCCCGCAGCTCTGATATCAAGATGCCTAATGTGCTCATAGAAGCGGCTCAGGTCGACCAAGACGGACCCGCTCTGAAACCCAACTTCCTTGCAGCAACCTCCCAAGAGATTGTGGACCCAGCCAGCTCTCTCACAGGTGTTGTGTGGCCCCGTGCCCCAATAGAAGGCCTCTGCATGCTTCTTCTCCCATGCCTGACAGTATGGCTGGCGAAGTCGCGACCACAAGCGCAGCACCAGGCAGAGGAGGCCGATGGGGCGCACGCCGCCGTCAGGCTTGTCTAAGAAGACCATGTTGGTCAAGAAGGCGAGAAGATCCTGTGGTATGTCCTCAAACCTGTGCAGGATATCTAAAAGCCTTAGCTGGTGTTCCTCCGTGAGGCTCAGAACCCATCTTGGGTGAAAACCATCCCACCCCAAACCTGCGCCAGGAGCATACTTACGACAAACTTTCAGGAGCCGATCCAGGGCAACAGGTTCCAATTGGGCTTCGTCAACTGGGACAGTCCACTGGGATGGGTGATCATCCTGCCTATCGGCCACACACCACAGCGGCACCCACCCGTCTAGAAGAGCCGAAAGTGCTCCAGCACCTACTTGAGGGACGCCCTCAGCGTCGCAAGAGGAGGAGGAGGAGGAGGAGGAGGAGGAGGAGGAGGAGGAGGAGGAGGGGAGGAGGAGGAGGAGGGGGGAGGAGGAGAAAAGACCCACGACACGCAGGAGCTCGACCGTGTCCCGATCTGCTCGAGGCTTGGAGCGCGCGCGGTGCGCCCACATCGCCCCTCGTTGGGCCTCGTACGTGCCTGCAGCCCGAGAAGAGAAGGAGGAGGAGAAGGAGGAGGAGGAGGAGGAGGAGGAGGAGGAGAGAGGAGGGGAGGAGGAGGAGGAGGAGGAGGAGGAGAGGGGAGGGGGAGGGGAGGGGGAGGGGGAGGGGGAGGGGGAGAAGGAGGGGGAGGAGGAGGAGGAGGAGGAGGAGGAGGAGGAGGAGGAGGAGGATAGAGGGTGCAGAAGTGTGCAGAGACTGCTCGAGCAGGCGAAGCAAGGGGCCCCCGACGACGGGAGCGCGCCGCTCTTGCCCCTGCGTTTCGCCGAGCTATGTGACGAGGAGGCCGTCTTCGCGTTTTCCAGAAGGGAGGACGATGAGGAGCAGGGCGGAAAAAAGGGTTTTTTGGAGGCCTGGGAATTTGAAAACACAGGGGGGTGCCCCTACTGGGGGGAGATGATCCTAGATGGTGGTGCTGGTGGTAATATCTCGGACACCTAGGAAGCCCGCATATCACCACCACCGCCGAGATCGGCAGCATCTTTCCTCGGTGGAGGCAAAGCACCGATTGTGATGTTGGTGTCAACCTGTAGGTCTCCGAGGGCCGGCCCGCCGCCTGTGGGCGGTGAGGGATTGAGCGAGGAGGCTGGCGGTTTGTACACCGCAGCCGTGCCCTGAGGCACAACTACTCTCCATTGGAGGGTGAGTCTGCGCGTATGTTCTTGTGGCGGCGAAGGGGTCGGCCCTCAGTTGGCCCTGGAAACGACAGGGCCGTTTTTTCTACCTGTTCCGTTTTGCCGTTTGTTGCCAATTCCGACGCCGTTTTGTTACCGGTTCCGTCGCCGTTCTTTTACGGGTTCCCGCTCCGGTCCCAATCCTGGGGCCGTTTTTGTTGCCGTTTCCGGTCGCCGTTTTTTTGCCGTTTCCATTTTCAAAAGACACTTTTTCGGAAACGGTGACAAAACGGCCCTGCCGTTTCCGGGGCCCGCTAAGGGTCGGCCCCTCTGCTTTGATAATTACACAGACACCTTCCGACGAACCCTGCATGTACCTCCAAGGAAGGCGGCGTCGTGTAAAGTCGCTGGCCCCCAGTGGTGGTTGAGACACCGCCACCTTCCCCTGAGGCCCAGGTGCACTCCATTGGAGGGTGTCTGTGCGTCTATCCTTGTGGCGGAGAAAGGGTTCGTGACGTCTGGGGGCCGTCTGGCGACTCGAAAGCATCGGGCCGTCGGAGGTCGGGCTGGGGCCACGAGGATCGCTGGCGAACGCCTGGCGAACGGGCATCCGCACCGAGAGAAACATGACTCGCGACCAAAGGCTTTCCTGCGATCCTTCTCCTTCACCCCCGCCGCTAGGCCACGACTGCATATTGCATCGCCCTCGTCGATCAGTCTGCGGCGAGGCCCTCGTATCGCCGCTCGTCTCTCAACCATGGCCTCTGCGTCGCCAAGTCCGATTCGGAACATGCACAACTGCGCCCATCCGAATGGGCAATGCATGCGCCCAACCGTTTTGTCCACCAGCGTGGGTTCGCAAGTGCAACGCGCATGGATCAACACGTTTGCAAACTGCATCAACACTCAAACAATCTCGCACCACACATTGACGTGGTCTTTCCACCGTGCACTGCGCTCACCCCTTGACGCGGTCGAAAATACTCGCGCGGTCGCATGAGTGCACATGTCGCTCTGCACTGCTAGCTCGCTTGGCAGTTTCTCTTTGGCACCACCAGTCCTCACGACCACCCCCTGTATGTCTCCGAACCACTGCCCCCAGCATCGAAATGCACGCGGCCTTCGGTCGAATCACGAAGCCAGGATCCTTTATGCCATACCTGGCGACCCAATGCCATGGCACAATGCGTGCAAGGGTGAACTGGCACTCCGGCAACGCGAGCGCCATCTCGGTCGGAGCATGCCGATTTGTCAATGTTCGGCGGTGGACAAACCTCCCTTTAGTAAACCTCCCCTTAGCGAAAACGGCCTGGGACCGAAACCGACGGACCTGGACCCGCAAACATAACGGCCGCGACGCCCTCTCGCGAACCGACAACGGTCAATTCCTTAATCGACGTGTCAGGGTAGGAGGTCTGTCCACCCCCGAAATGTGTGCAGATGCCGAGCGCAAGCGCACGCAGGCACGCACAACAAGCAAGCACGCTCTTCCCGCGGCGCCGTGGTGTGAAGGCACGCGTGGGTGGCTCTGGAGAGCACCACGCTGAAAGGGAGGCCCGCAACCACAGACACACATTTTTCCCCCTGACGCGCCAGAAATGATCCAATCGGCGGGCCATGCTACGTGTCGCGTCAACCAAAAACTACCTTCCACGTAAACTGGCGCGGTCAGGCAATGCTCCAGGCTGCGCGAAGTGGCGACAGGGGCCGAAAAACCAGGCGGTGCAGGGCAACACTCACACACGCACGCATGCTCGCACGCACGCACGCACGCACGCCGCCGCTGGCTCCGTACTTCCTCCTCCTCCTCCTCCTCCTCCTCCTCCTCCTCCTCCTCCTCCTCCTCCTCCTCCTCCCCCCCCTGCTCCTCCCCCCCCTGCTCCTCCCTCCTCCTCCTCCTCCTCCTCCTCCTCCTCCTCCTCCTCCTTCCAGTCATCACCCCCCACTTGGCCGGCCCCGAGAAGGGGAAGCCTGGGGTGGTCGCCCCGGGGTGGGTCCAGGAGACGCGTTCGGGGCTCTCTCTCCCCCTCCTCCTCCTCCTCCTCCTCCTCCGCCTCCTCCTCCTCGTGGCGAAGGATGGACCGAGGGGGCAAGGATGCAAGGGTACCCAGGGGGAAGGCGTGCCCTCGCTCTTGCACCAAGGAGCTGCGAGGGACAGGAGGCTGTCGCCTCCTTCCTCCAGGAGTTTACTATTGTGGACAGGGGGAGGGGAGGACGAACGACGAAAGAACGAACGAATGAACGACGACGAACGAAAACAAAGAGGCCTGAGCTCTAGAACACAGCTGTGCGAGAGAGTAAACATAAACTCCGTAAACTTAGGTCGGGCATGTCCCCCTACAGGCGGAGATTTGACGAAACATAAACACAAATCCTGAACATAGTCAGAAAAACACTCCCAAAATACTAAACACATCGTCCCCCGACTGTTATTGTTCTACTATCTTTGAACGTTCCTCCTGTAGAGGGACGTGCCCGACTCAACCGTAAACATAAAGCACAGACATAAGCTTCGTCAACAGAAGGACATAAACATACACTTCGTAAGCCTAAACGCACACACACACACACACACGCACACGTAAATATGCGCACACAGCATCCTCCTGGCTTAGCAAGCAGAGAAACAGCAAGCTTTGCAATCATAAACTCGCGGAAAAATCCACGCAACATACGGTCCCCTGGAGTCCCGACCCCTCCCCCTGGACGAATTCCTCATCCCGAATCGCTCTTCGACGATCCCGGGGCCCGTCGAGGGCCTCGACAGGGCGAGCACGACAAAAAGCCTCCGTCCTACGACGCGATCACGACTGGGCCTATCGAACGGGCTGGGACGAAGATAACCACGCTACAGAGCGTTCCGGAACGCTCTGGGAAGGCCGCGGCGTCCAAGGTATCAAGATATCCCTCAGAGCCGCCGGATCTCAGAGATTCTCGATTTGCCCTCACCCGATTTGGAGGAGGCCAGAAGGTACGTACCGATACCGCTACTCAAGAGAGATAAAAGTACCACTACACCAGCTAGAATAGCGGCCGCTTCCTCCCCTCGGGCTGGTGGCACCTCCTTCCGGGAACTCTCTGGAGGCACGCCCGGAACGAGGTGCCACCAGCTCAAGCTGGTGGTGGTGGTACTGTTGCCTCTGGTGAGTTACTCCACGAACCTCTCCGGGGGTGCGTTCTGACCAGGATTTCGAGGCGAATCCAGCGGTGGCGACGAGGGCCTCCCAAGAGACCCCCAAAAAGCGAAAACGAGGGAAGTGTAGCGTACAGGTACCTTCTTCCCCTCCGAGATTTATCCTCACCCGTCGTTGTCCTCGCCCTCCGAGATTTATCCTCACCCGTCGTTGTCCTCGCCCTGGCTCGGTCCTAGCTCAGCAACCCACGATGGGGGCGCCAAGCGCCGGCAGCCGTCCCGGCCTGCCACGGCCGAGAAGGGAGGTGCGCCGAGGCTGTCGAGGAGCGGGGGGCCACTGCGGAGCGGGGCACCCTGGGCGGAGGAGCGACCCATTGGAGAACATCCCCTGGGATCCTGGCGTTGCAATATTTTGTCACAACTGGCGTTCTCGCGTCATTTCGGGCCCGAAAAATGATGCAGAAAGATGGTGTCCAGGGCTCTCCAGTCGTGATTTGTGTTTGCGATGCTGCACTTTGCCTGCAACATCGGATCTCAGGGAAGGACATACCAGTACTATGTGCCCTCCTCGGAGGCGTGCGTCCGACCCGAACACACGATACAATCATCTTACAGCATCTCGTTTCTCGAGCGGTTTGGCCAGAATGCGCCCGCCACCGCGCATATACTAGAAGACTTCTTGGCGCGCGCGTCGCCCCTGGGGGGAGGGAGGGACGCACACTTAGTATTAGCATGTCGGTGTGACGCCCAGAATGAAAAACATATATTCAAGCGCGTTCCCCCAAGATGCCCGAGAGACCACAAAGAGGCCCTCGAGACGCCCCAAGAGGCCCCAAAACGGCGCCAAAGAGGCCTCCAGACGGCCTCCGAAAGGCCCTCCGCGACATCCCAAGGAGCATCCTCGTTCCTTTACTCGCAAAGGAACTACTCGCAAATGGCCTGGGTCCGCCGCGGGGATTTACGGTCCAGTACATCGAGGCAAACCTGTTTTTGTTCTGACGTTAGCGAAGCCCTTTACGAGTAGTGGAACGCACTCGGCGAGAAAAGAGATGAACCCGATCGAGACAGGGGGGGGCACACACAGCGACAGGGCAGGCGACAGAGAACCACAAAACGGCGGGATCCCCGTCGCTCGGACGTCTACTCCCTGTGCTTTTTTCGGTTTCGTGCGTGGTTCTGTTTCGCAGGCAGTGGCCTCTCGGGGGGAGGAGGAGGAGGAGGAGGAGAAGGAGGAGGAGGAGGAGGAGGAGGAGGATGTTCCTTAATGATCCCCGCCGAGAGAAAGTACACACGGCCGAGCGATACCAAGCGGGGGGGGAGAGGCACCCAACGACACTGGCCCAGCCCCTCGGAGACGGCGAACACTGCAGCGAGATTGCTCTGTTCCGGGGCATCGGCAGACAATTATCATGTCTCATGGCTGAACCTAAACGGTGGTTTTCATGTTCGTTTTGTGTTCGTTTCCCCTCGCTTTTGTCTTAGATTCGCCTCTAACGCAAAACAACATCGAAACGACAACGGCCCACGAAATCGCCAAAACACCGTTTGGGTCCACCCCCTGCTAGTGACAGCCGTTGTCTCGCCTCAAAATCTGGAGCATGCGCGGGCGCCGCGCGACCAGTGGGATCTGGACCACTCTGCCTCGATGTTTGACGGGGGCGGCTGGGGGACCCTCAGATTGCTTGCTGCGCGAAGGCTAACAATCGCTATTAACTTGCAATGCAAAGTACACAATCCATGGTTTTTGACAGGGATACTCGTGTGCTACTTATGTGCTGGGAGGGCGGGTGGGAGTGAGCGAGACGGCTTGTGCCTTGTGGGCAGGAGGTGTCTTGACCTCTCCTCCTATCCCCTCCCCCGGACCTGGACGGGGCGCCCCGCGGGTAGTTAGAGCGTCTAAGAAGGCCTCAGCGCGAAGACACACATCATTGATGTTCCTGATGTTTTGGACCAATGTTGGCTCTTGGGGGGGGGGAACGCTAATCAAGTACCCCCTCTTCTTTGATCAATACTCTTCCATTGGGCCCCAAGACGGCCCAACAAGCCCTCAAGAAAGCCTCAAGTGGCCCCCAAGATGCCTCCAAGAGGCCCCCAAGAGGCCTCCAAGAGGCCCCCAAGACGAGGCAGAAGGCCCCCAAGCGCCGCCAAGAGCACCTCCAGAGGCACCCTTAAAGGCCACCAAGGGCCACACCAGGAGATATCCCAAGCGACCCGGAGAGGCATCCAAGAGGCCTCTAGTTCACTGTGGCTCCACGAGGTATCCAAATGATGGCATCCGCCCCCGAGAAGGGCAATTCCGCTAGGCACCGCTCCTAGAAGGGCTGGCAGGGGTACGCGAAGCGTTAATAATCTCCTTAGCGGTCGACGGTCTCCTCAGAGAATGAACCGAACGACCTTGAAAGAGCCCCGATGGAGCCCGCTGCCTCCACAGAGACACGCCTCATCCACGAACGGATTCATTTCATGGACACTGGCTCGAAGGCTTTGCCTTGGTCCGTGAAAGAATTGCCAGGAGCGGGGCACGCTGGGAGGGACTCCACAATGGTGTCGATGTGGGTGGGCCTCCGCAGTGATGTGGTCTTCCACGACCACCGGTGCGCAAGTGTTCCCAGTTGGCGTGGAAGTCCGAGTGGTGGTGGGAAGGTGACGTTAAGCCTTGATGTTGGGGCCGCACTGCCCTCCTTTGATGGCGGCCTGGTCTGGGAAGAACCTCGGTTCAATCGCTGGTCCGACCAAGTTTGCCAGAGTAGCTCCGAAGAGGCGCCAAAGCAGGTAGATGCAGCGGCTGGAGATCGTCAGGCAACTCGCCGTCTAGAGTCTTGGGGGTCCAGAAGAGAGGGTCAACAGAGGGGCCCGACGCTCTGACCTGTGTCGAGAAAGCTGGAAGGAAATTCCCCCGCGAACGTGCAACGAGCCCGGTGCCCACGTGAGTGACTTCGTGGGGCTCCCCGTGGCCACTCCCGGGGCGCTCCCCACTGGGGGCGAGAACGAGAGCGGCCAGCCGTGCCATGTGGGCGGGGGTGCTCTGGCAGCAGAAGTGGCCCCAGGACACACAATTAAATTCACACAAATAACAGGATTCCCAATCTTGTCTTATATTTTCAGGGTTTTTGTCTTCCCCCCACCTCCCATATTTTCCCAAATTCTCCTGGGAATCGACGATGAATTGTGTCTGTGTGTTTTTCCTTCCCCTCCTGAAGAAGGGGCGGGCGGTCCTGGAAGCAGACCGTAGGTTCACGGTCGGCGTCGGGGGCAGGGCAGGCGCGGCATCCCAGAAGGTGCTCTGGCTGTGCCACGGGAGGCGAACCATGGCTCCTGGGTTGACTTGCCAATGCCCGCCCGCAAGCCTGACGCCCTCGTGACTTTTTCCTTATCCGGCGTTTCGACATTGAGCGAGGAGGGGGGGGGGAAGGGGGGGAAATTATGGCTCTAGCCCTCTGCTCAGTGCGACTGTTTGCGACGGTGCGTCCTGTGAGGGGAGACTCCACCTGCTCGAGACAGGCGCCAAAAGTAGCCAAGATCTACTCCATAGGTGGGGGGTGCGAGGGCCCGCGCCGCTCGGCAAAACAAAGCATAAAAAAACGATCACCTTGGGGATCTGGGCTCCTGCGGAGCCAGCGGCTTGCGGGCGCTTCGGGCGTCGCGGTGCGACGGGGTGCGCCGGGCCGCACGCTGCGGATGCAGCTTCGCCCTCCATTCCACCAACCGGGTGTTGGCCTCCGTTGGGGTGGCTTCGGGCCCAGGAAGCACGCACGCGCGCACACAGACACGCACGCGAGTGCAGACACACGCGCATACAAACAAAGGCTTCTCTGAACGCAGGACGGCGCATCGTTGCCCATTGGCGCGCAGTGCAAGCCGAGTTCAACACCCATACCAACACGATGCGCGCTAGCATGCAAACTGAGATGGAACACCTCATCAACCAATACAGGTGCAATCGTTGAAAAACAACATCTGCAAAACGAACAGCGGCTCGCACAACCCTCCTTCCCGTCACCTGTTGGTCACAAGGGGAAACACGTAGATGAAGTCCACGATCGACCCAGTAGCCTCGCACAACGCCCACTCATAAAGAATCAGAACAAGCTAGAGGGCCAGCCAAACGGGCCAACGGCGCGTTAGATCTCGGAAGTGTATAAATATAAAGTCAAGTTGAGTGGTTCAATTGCTGATTGTCTAGTCCGCGCGCGCGTCAGGGCGCCCCTGGAGGGTCTGCGGACCGAACTGGCGCTCAAGACCGCCCAAGAGTGCGGTCCGATGAGAGGCAGGCCCAAGTCATTGAAACACAGTTGTGTTTGGTGGGTGGGGCTTCTCGCCCTGGCGGGCTCCAATGTGCTTCTCGGACTCCGAAGTTGCCCCATTGCCCCCAAGATTCCCAGATACCCCCCGAAAGGGCCCCAAGACGGCTCCAAGACAACTCCAAGGGGGCCCAGAAGCACGCAACGACTGCGGGCCATTCAGCGCCAGGACGACCCAGAGATGGCCCCAAGACGCCTCAAGATGGTGCGACGGGGATCCCAAGAATGCCCGGGATAGCCCCAAACAGCCGAATGGCCTCATATGACACTTCGAGGTGGCCGAATATGCGCCCCTTGGAGGCCAGCAAGGATGCCAGAAATTGTTGTCTGTGAAGTGCGCGTGTGTGTGTGTGTTGTGTGCGAATGTTGTGTTGTGTTGGTGTGTGTGTGTGTCGTGGGTGGCTGTATGTTTGTTTTGCTGGTGTTTGTTTGCATGCTTGCTGGTGCTCGTTGGCGTGTGTGTGCGTGCGTGTGTGTGTGTGTGTGTGTGTCTGTGCCTGTGCGTGCGTGCGTGCGTGCCTGCGTGCCTGCGTGCCTGCGTGCGTGCCTGCGTGCCTGCGTGCCTGCGTGCCTGTGTGCGTGCGTGCGTGCGTGCGTGCGTGCGTGCGTGCGTGTGCGTGCGTGTGCGTGTGCGTGTGCGTGTGCGTGTGCGTGTGCGTGTGTTTGTGTCTGTGTGCGTGTGCTTTTGTGTGTGAGTGTGTGTGTGTGG